GGGTGTCAAAAAAAAATTAAAAAAAAAAAAAAAAAAAAAAAAAGAAAATTCATGTGAAGAGCTACACATTGAACAATACCTACAGACTAAAAAGCCCTTGCTGAAACTGTATTGATCCATCTCTTCTCAAAATATTTTCCAATGAGCTCAAGACATTTCTAAAGTCAAGAAAGTCCTGCGATCAATTCCTACTAAAAGCAGCAATTTATTACCGATCTCATTTGGTACAGTAATAACTGTACTCCGCCAAACAATCCCAGCTCCTTATTTCCTGTATTACCATGAGACAATTTTTCATATGTACATATTTGCAGCAAAAGTTTAAATCTTAAATTACCATGGTTTTCCTCCACTTTAAGGGTTGATCAGTAATGAAGATTTGGCTTTTCACACTCAGATAATTTCCTTTTTTGTAATGGAGGAGCTAATTCCTCACTTCCACACGAGTGATTTTCTGCATCTGACCTTCTGTGGGATGGTCTAAGTTTAACAGTAGCGGTAAAGTTGGAGTTTTTAATCATAAAAATCTCATGAACAAAGTAAAAGGGAATATAGGGGAGTGGAGGCTTTTTCTTAAATTATTATTTGTCTTGGAGAACGTATTGAAAACATTTCAATGCTCTTAGTCACAGCATGAAATAAAATATACTACATAAAATTGTACTGAATTGTTAATAATGGCTGTATTACATTTCAGATCTAAGCTAGTGAAAGTTTAAACACTTAAACACAGTAATGTTTATTAGTTTAATAGGCCCAAAAATAGACAAAGGTGATTTAGAAACACAGGGAAAGCTCAGGCTTTCTATGTTGGATTGGGAAACATTTTAAAGGTGCTTGATACGAAGGAACTCGGACTCCATTTTCACAAAGGACTTTAGAATTCATTTTGTTAATTTTTAGTGAGAGTCTACCATGTGTGCCTCTAAAAATATCCTTTTTGCATCTGTCCCTAAATAGCTGAGTGCAGTAAAAAAATGTCATAAATGGCTTTAAGTTACTCAGTTGCTTTGGATATTTTTGCCATTTTTATTCAGAGGCTGACCTAATATGTGAGGCCTCTTCACTTCCATTATTTGACAATGAAATTTGTGGGTACTCATACACACTCCTTAATTCAGGACTAGATCCTCTCACCCAACTCACGCAAAATAACACTTTGTTCTGTAAATAATTCCAGTGAACTCAGTAAACAAATGTAGTATTCACAACAAATGCAAGTTTCATAATTAAACTCTAAAAAACTCCACAGCAAAGGTATTGGGATATGGATTAAAACAACTGAAATATTGTTAGTTTAGGAAACCCATGTAAGACATTTCAAAAGGGAAATTTTTTCTGAGGATTTTGTTGCCTTGAAAGTGAGAAGTTGTTTCAAGTATAGAGACTGACACAAAAGAAAATATGAAATGAGAGGGAGGGAAAGAAGGAAGCAAAGCAAGTGGCTGAAAGCTACGATGGAAGGGAGCATGGGGAGGTGCGAGATTAAACAAGCCAAAAGATGTAGATAAGAGAAGAATTGTGCTGGGCTTTGAAGATGAGGATCTTGAACGTAGTGGCTGATGATTAATAGTTGCAATTGCAGTAAGGATGAAACAAGCATTTAATCACAGTGGAGTGTGCGCATATTCCTCCTGCCTTACTTATCTGTAACATATGGTTCGATTTCATATGACCAGCACTGAAAAATAGAGCATTTTAACACAGACTTATAACTTAAAATAAGATTTGTTCACTATCACTGATGTAAGAGAACACTCTGAGGAAAAAACAATGATCCTGAACTCAGCTATAATAGAAAATATGCTCCCATCGTAAGTCAGGTTTAGGTTCACCTCAATCTTTAGTTTCTGTTATAATGGAAAAACTATTTGCCAACAGTGTGCTGGAAAGTGCAAACTGACATCAAGCTATAATTGTTCCACAAAGTTCTCACCAGTCTAGCGCTGGGCTGAGACACCTGGATTCTGCTCCAAGATCTTGCCACTGACTTGTTGGGCAATCTTAGTTAAGTAATTTCACTGCTTCATCTGCAAAATTGATATAATGATACTGATTTATTTCCTATATCTTTGAGTTTTACAGAAGAAAAACCCTTCAGGAGAGACAGAAACTCTTATCCTCCAACTAGGTAAGTGCATCCAACTAGTACTTATGTGGTGCTATTTACCATAGTTTCTGAGACTTTCACATTCTGAATTAAAGCAAAGTATCACTCAACTTTCACCTTATCCAGAAAGCTAATGAAATTCTGCATCTCCTTCAATACATGCAGGTAATCAGGCTTCTCTTTTTCCTTCTGCTTCTCCTCTTTCTATTTTATTTTTCTTGGTGTTTGTTCCTGATGTTGATGAAATGCTACATTACAGAAATACACCATTTTTTTTTCTGAGTGTGTTTTTGGTCATAATCACTTTCTCCTAAAGGAAGTTCAACCCCTCCTGCTCTCTTCTGAATCATTCTTACTGTTTTATATAATGATTAAGTGCGGAGTGGAATAAAAACAGCAGAAGCATGACTTTACAATGCCTTTTCCTTACTAAGTTGTTACTATTTCCCTGATCCTGTGTCAGGTCTTTGACATATCTTAATTCCCCTTTCTACCTCTCCTTTCAGCTTGAAACTCAGCTTTTTCAATTTACACCTGATCTAATTCTTGTCTGGCCTCAGAAGCATCGGAAGTTTAAATGTTGGATGATGCACTTTCATAGGCAAGGCAACATGGTAGGCAAGTCTGAAATATTCTGCTCAGCACTTTGAACAGTACTACACCCTTTAGAAAGGCCATAGTGCCTTATTCTTCAGTTACACTTGCATAAATCAGAAATAATCTTTGTTTTAAAATGAGTAGATTAACTACTGCTGTGAAAGCAGAGTCCAACTTTTTTGTATCCTCCTGGTTTCTCTAGCTATTAGTTTATTACATGGCCTGTCAGTGTCAGTATCTACTGCTAGGAGTGAAATTATTGACTAAATCCAGCTGAAGAACTACTCACAGCAGGTTCCTGTGGAGTGTAAATCATAAGAAAATAATCCATGATTTTGGAATTACAGTTATTAAAGAGCAGAGAACAAAGCATTAACCTAGTCCCTCTAGTGTGCAGTGGCTGGTTATTTAAAGTAATTAGCAAGAAGGCAGCTGCAGATATTATAAAGGCAGTGTCTAATCTAATTACTTCAGCAGTAACAGTTTATAATTGTGCACCTGACATAATGCCTTACACTGAAGCCAACTGACTTATCACATGGGGTTATTGGACAAAATTAGTTGCTTCTCCATCTGGGAGACAGTCATAGGCTGCATGCCCTGCTGACTTGTTCAAAAGATTTATTAAATTAATTTTTCTGTAGTTCGACTGCAGATCTTCAAGGTGCACAGCTCAGTTGTGATTGATCAAAGTAAAAGGTGGCAGCAACCTTTTCCTCAAAAAAACCCGAAGCCAGAATGCTAAACTATCACAATGTTGTAGACAGAAGCATAAATAAAGGGGGGAAAAAAACCCTCAAAACATTGTAGGCAGTCAGAAATGCACGCTGTGAGCATACATATGGCAATCGTGTCCATTCCAGGAACGGGGTGACTCAGAGGGGAGAAGAGGTGTTTCAGCTACTGTTACTGCGCTTGCATGAGTAGCACAAGACAAAACACCTCCATCATGAAGAGTGGGATTTTCTTAAATCTGTTTCCAGAGCCAGAAATAGAAAAGTCAGATGCCATCCAAACTCAATTTTAAGGAGAAACTTCAGTACAGGAGTATGGTGTAACGACGGGTGTTTTGCATAAATTTGAATCTTCTGTACTTTTGGATGTGCTTTACTTTTTTTCCTGTTTAAAATCATCATACTTAAAAATCATCAGACATTAATACTTTAGATGTATTAACATCTAAAGACAATGCCCTATTCAACTCTAATTTCATGATGCCCTTAATAAACAGAAATAAACTAAATTCGATGTCAGCTGAATGCTGACTTTGCATGGGTTGTATTAGCGTCAAGGAGAGGCAAAAAAAAAAAAAAAAAGTATGTGACAGATCAGAAAGCACTTTTTCTGTGCTGTACCTGAAAGCATTTGTATTCCTTTCAGCAGTTCAGAGTACTGCTCTATGGACTGATGTTTCTGTGATAAAAAGAGTGGCATATGTGTTAATGTAATAATTCTAAATGTGAAGTGTTATTAAAATGTAGATATACAGAAGTTGGAGCTTCTATAAACGGACAAAATAGACATTCGCAACTATTGACCTGGAAGATAAAATGCTTTAGAAGGAAAACCAAAATAAACTCAGAGATTTCATCCCATAATGAAATCCTGCCTATTCAGTGCCCAAGGGCTTGTAAAACTCTACTTTGGCCTTGACAACAGAAGAGAAAGTACCATTCTGTATTCATGAGTGCTTTCTGTGGGGCACTTTTGCAGACTGCTGTATTTATGTTAAAAAATAGCTGTTGCTGCCTCAAGAGGTTGAAGAGAATCAGAAAGCACAAGATGAAGAAGAGCAAGATACTGCATGATTTGTTTGAAAGCAATCCTGGCAGTGACAGCATTATTAAGAGGTTAATATACAGAAATGTCTGTCCTGTTTCTGGGTAAAAATGAAAGCTTTTATCCAAGTTAAAGTAAAAGCTCTCACATCAGTTCTTAACCGGTTTGCTAATCCAATAGATAATGTAGCGAAACCAATTTCACTCAATGAGGCTTCTACTGTTGGTACAACAAAACACTTAAACGATTGCCCTGATTTTAAATACTCAGAGTCATTAACCTAAGAAAGCACTTCACATTAGGACGAAAACAGCACCCCTGCATATTTGTCTATGAAGCAGAATAGATAACAAAAAGCTTATTGAAAGTTACTGAGAATATTTTCATTAAAAAAAATCTGAAGCAAGTCCCCCATGCC